TCCAAGTTTTGAAGTGGAAGATGAAGGGTCACAAGAGGAAGAAGCAAACCTAATTATGTAAACAAAAGTTGGAATGGCGGCGACTATTTGAAATTCCGAGGTAAGGGATTTGATTTGTGCAGGCGAAAATTCGGCGATATTTAAGGAGATTGATAATATTATTATGGAGGCAGTGTTGGATTTTCCGAATCAGAAGGTAGAGAATTCGAAATGGCCTGAAGAGAATCCTGACAGTCAGTTGGAAAATATTGAGAATTTGGAAAGACCTTCAATTACGAAGAATGATATCCTCGAGGATGCAGCCTTTATTGAAGAGAGAGAAATGAACTTTAATGAAGAAAGAGAAAAGACTGATATGTTGGCCAATGAAATTACGATTTCCCGCAGGTAGCACCCTGTGACAAATCATCACATAATCGTATCCCACCATTGCCCTTTTCCTATTCAAGGAAAAAAAATCAAAATCTAGATTGCCCAAGGATCTCGGTCTTATTCATTCAAATTAGGAGACTATCTCGATGTTAAATAAGGGGACCAATGAAGAAGAGGAACTTTCAGAATTACCGCCAACTAATTCAGACCCTAAAGATGATCCAAACCTTTGTATTATACAACAGAGTTTACGGAATTCTTTTAATATGGGAAGTGAGCAGGATATGGACAAGAAAGAGAAAATTAGTAATTTTCCATACCTAAAATTTGGCCGCATTTATTCAACCAAAGAGCAGCCAACTGAATTAAATATGACTGAATCTTTATTCTCGAATGATGAGGAAGGTATAAACATTAGCATTGGTAGTCAGGATTCTCCACCTTTTTTGGATATTCACGCGGAATGTGCTGAATTTTCCTTGAACGGTGAGTTGACTAATCTTTTCGATCCTCCCCTATTTTCTCCAGCTGCACAAGACAAGTCAGTTTTTTGTGGGAACCCTCCGAATATTGAGGGTGAAATTCAGATTCCTTCCTTCTTTGACTCGGTTGGAATTGCTCTCTCACCTGTTAGGAAAGATTGATGAAGATACTTTCTTGGAATGTCCGAGGCCTTCGAGATTATAAAAAAAGGCTGAAAGTTAAGAAGATGATATTGAAACTCAATCCACATGTTGTAATGCTCCAGGAGACAAAGTTACAGTTTCAGCAGATTGATAAAGAGACAATTAAATCGTTATGGAGCTCTAAAGATGTAGCATGGGCCAGCATGGAAGCAGAAGGTTCAGAAGGTCGATCGGGGGGATTCTTACCCTCTGGGATGAGACTAAAATTCAGATTCGGGAAGTATTAGAGGGCAACCATTCAGTGTCAATCTCCATCTCATTCTTTAATTTAAAAGAAATTGTTATAACTAACATCTATGGTCCAACTGGTTACAAAAGTTGGAAGCATCTGTGGTCACAATTACGAAATATATTGGTGCATGGGAGGAGATTTTAACATCACAAGGTGGGTATCAGACAGGTCTTCAGGAGGTAGAATAACAAGAGGAATGAAGAGATTTAATAGTATAATTGAAGAATTAGAATTGATGGAAATTCCACTTTCTAATGGCAAGTACACTTGGTCGAAAATGGGCAACGCTAGTACTCATTCATTACTGGACAGGTTCTTTGTTTCGCAAGATTGGGACACTCTCTTCAGCAATTCTAGTGTAACGAAAACGTCTGACCATTTTCCTATTGTTCTTGATGTTTTGGGGATTTTCATTGGGGCCCCACTGCCTTCAGGTTCTTTAATTTCTGGCTAGAAGATAAGAATTGTGTTCGAATAATCGAATCTAAGCTCTCAGAAGATGTATCTTATGGCTGGGCAGGGTTTGTAATATCTTCAAAGCTTCGTAAAATCTTCACTTAAAATTTGGCATGCTCAAAATGAAAAGCAGCGAAAGGAAGCAGAGGATAAAATAGTAGCTGAAATATCCTTATTGGATATTAAAGATGAGAATTTTGGTCTCTCCTCGGATGAAATCGCATGAAGAGGTTCTTTGAAAACAGACTTACTTAATTTGTATGTAAGGGAGGAGCAAAACTTGATACAAAAAAGTAAGGTACATTGGCTTAAGGCACGGGATGAAAATAGCAATTTTTTTCATAGATTCTCAGCTGCCCGCAAAAGGAAAGCCTAGATTTCTGAGCTCAAGGATGGAAATGGTGTATCTCTTGTTAACCAAAGAGAAATTGAGAAGGAAATCTCCAGCTTTTTTGATGCCTTGTACTGTAGTGAAGGAATTTCACGTTTTACTTCAAGAGACATCTCTTGAAGGCCTATCTCTTGTAAAGACAGTAGCTGGTTACAAAGGAATTTTGAGGAAGAAATAAGGCGTCAGGGCCAGACGGATTTACCATTGAATTCTTCATCAAATTTTGGCAGCATTGGAAAGGGGATTTTATGCGACTTTTTGCTGAGTTCTTTCGAAATGGCCAATTGAATGCTTGCGTTAAAGATAATTTCATTTGAGTTATTCCTAAGAAAGATTCAGTGGAAAAGGTAAAGGACTTTAGACCAATAAGTCTTTCAACCTCCACTTATAAAATTATAGCCAAAGTCCTCACCGAGCGCCTCAAAAAGGTGATTCCTAGCACAATTTCTATGAATCAGAGTGCTTTTATTGAAGGAACACAGATCCTTGATCCGGTGTTAATTGCAAATGAACTTATAAATTTCTATAAAGTCAAGAAGAAGAGTGGTTGGATGTTAAAACTTGACTTAGAAAAAGCCTTTGATAGAGTGGATTGGGATTTTCTTGATGTTTTTTTTTTTTTGAACAGGAAACGAACTTTTCATTGATAAATGAAAAGGAACATAAAATGTTCAAGGATACAAACTCCAAAGGAGTTTTCTTGATGTTGTCCTTCGAAAGAAAGGGTTTAGAGAGAAATGTATTATCTAGATTAATGGTTGCATTAGAGGGACAAAATTTACAGTATTCATCAATGGTAGACCGAGAGGAAGAATCTCAGCTTCTAGAGGTTTAAGGCAAGGGGACCCTCTCTCTCCTTTCCTTTTTCTCTTAATCAGTGATGTGCTTAGTAGTTTGTTGGATCGCCTACATGAAAAGGGTATTTTTGAAGGTTTTATTGTCAGTAGAAATCATGTTCATGTTTCTCATCTACAGTGATACTATGTTATTTTGTAAGGATGATGATGATATGTTAGAGATTCTTTTCGATACTATTAAGGCATTTGAATGGTTGTCTGGCCTAAAAGTAAATTGGGATAAATCATCGTAATGTGGAATTAATATTGATACCCAAAAAGTAGCGTTGTTTGCTGCAAAGTGGAATTGTAAAATTGAACATCTGCCCATCATGTACTTGGGGCTTCCTTTAGGTGGAAATCCAAAGCTTGAAGCCTTTTGGTTCCCTATTAAGGACAAGATCCTAAAGAAGCTCGATAGATAGACTGACTTTGTGCCAAGCGGTGTTGGATAGCATCCCTTTGTATTACTTATCGTTTTTCCAAATGCCGGGACATATCAGCAAGCAATTTGAAAAGTATATCAGAAAATTTTTTTGGAGAGATGGTTCAAATGGGTCTTTAAAGCATTTGGCTCGATGGGATTTAGCTTCTCGCCTTTGTGCAAATGGTGGCTTGGGCATTGGTATGTTAATAAGAACCATGCTCTTCTTGCGAAATGGGGTTGGAGGTTTAGTGTGGAAACTTCTGCGTTATGGCGCCGGGTTGTGGCTAGCATTTATGAAACAGATTGTTTTGATTGGAACACTCTGGGAAATAAGAATTTGGGGTGTCGTAGCCCTTGGAACAACATTCAAAAACAGTGGAAAAAGGTACAGAAATTCTCTTCATTATCAGTAAAAAATTTTGGCATCACTTGTGGTTGGGCGAGTCTTGTTTAAAGGACAAGTTTCCACTTACGTTTCGGGTTTCCTCGAACCCCTACCTTTCGGTTCATGAAGCTTGGGATTCAACCACCTCCTCTTGGAGGATTGAAGTTAGAAGGTCGTTAAAAGATGGAGAAATTGCTGAGTATATTGAATTATTGGAAAATCTGAATTTGGTTTTGTTAAATGATGATGAAGACAAACTTTCTTGGAATCTGAATAAAAATGGGACTTTTTCTGTCAGCTCCTTATGTAACTCTAAGGCTCCCTCTGCTGCATTACCATGAGATTTTTGCTCAAAGCTCTGGAATTCTGGTAGCCCCAAGAAGGTTAATGTCCTTACATGGATTCTTATGTTTGGCAAGGTCAATACAGCTGAAATTAAGCAGAAAACGATACCATATATATTTCTCCAGCCATCTGCTTGTGTTTTCTGTGTAAACTCAAGTGAAAATAAGCTGCACACTTTCTTTTTCTGCCCATTTGCAGCAACCTGTTGGTCTGCCTTTTTTGGTATCTTCAACCTACCTTGGGCTATGGACAAGTCAGTCTCGAACTTGGTTTTTCAGTTGCTGTTTGGTCTACACTTGAATCCTAGAGCTACATTACTTTGGGTCAACGGTCTTAAAGCCCTTATTTATGAATTATGGTTCGAGCGCAATCAAAGGACCTTCGAAGGGCCAAAAAGGCATCCGTTGGAATGTTTTCACATTGCCAAATTCAAAGCTTCTCAATGGTGTGCTCTTTCCAATCTTTTAGCCAATTACTCACCTAGCATGATTGATTCTAATTGGGATGCTTTCAGCTCTCCTTTGTAATTTTATTTATTTTGTTTCAACTTTATGTGCTTTGTATTCATTTTTTTGTTTTTTTATTATTTTTTATCTTTCTCACTCATTTGGAGTTTGTATCCTTGAACATTTTATGTTCTTTTTCATTTATCAATGAAAAGTGCGTTTCCTGTTAAAAAAAACAACATTTCTCAAAAAAGAAAAAAGAATGAAGAAAGGGAAGGAAAAATACACCCCTAAAAGAGAGAACATTTCTCATTTCTACCACATTAAATATCCAATGGATATAAGGATACCCACACTATCTCATAGAACCAAAGAAAATTGAGAATAAAATATACTTCAGGCAATTTTTGGATAAAAGATTTACCTTCCATCTTCCGCATGGATCCGCCAATTTCTCCCCAAGTTACAATGCTGATCTGAATCTAGTTCCCAGAGTGCAGGCTTGTCCTTTTGAGGCTGAAAATGTCCGAGAAATCTGAGACAGTTATTTCCTAACTGTTAGTAATTGAATAATATACATGATTTAAAGAGTATCTATCAGTTTGTTGTTACTCGTTAATATAATTGTCTAACTGTTAAGTTTGAGATAAAATGTCCTCCATAGTGACAAGCTCAACTTTATATGCCTTGTATTTTATTGTCCAAGCCAGTGTTTTAAAAAGCTCAAGATGCAGTAAAGCGCAATAAACCTCTGGAGCTTAAGCTCGAGGCGCAAAAAAAGCGCGGACTTTTTTTCGCGAAGATAAATAAAAATATAATATACACGTATATAACATATAAAAGCCAAATAATTTTCAAAGTTCAAACATTATAAAGAGAAAAAGAGAGAGAGAAGAGGTTGAGAAATGATAGAGATGGAAAGCTTTTGTGTGGAGGTTTTGTTATAGAAAAAATATTTCCTTCCATGTGAAGGAAGAGAGAGAAATCATAGAATATTAAAGGGATTCACGTAAATGGAGGGAGAGAAAATTGAAAAGATTATGAAAAGATTGAGATCTTTTCCAAAAATAAAGTAAAAGATTGGAATTTAAAAGATTATGGGCTTTGGGCCCATTTTGAGATTTAAAAAGAAACCCTAAACGCAAGCATTAGGGTTTTTTTTTTTATAGTTTTACAGAAGCCCCTGAAGTGCAGTGCGCGCTTAAGGCGTGCCTCCTTCATTTCTCCTCACCTTTTCAAGGCGAGGCACAGGCATTGCGCTTAGCGACTAGGCGCGCTTTTTAAAAAACTGGTCCAAGCAGCATCTTCTCTTTGTTTCTTTAGTTAAAGATGCATTTAAAGCTTAATTTCTGATAATACATACTATTCTAAGCAACAAACATAACTACCCGACCTTTTCTTAGTACAGAAATAGAAGAATGCTCAAACAACAAAATTGTTCCATAAGCAAGACAACATAGCCATCAAGATTTCAGCAAAAAGGGCTGCGCTACCATCTTAAGAATCTAATGTGAACAGCTAGGAACCAAAAATTCAGCATGCGGAGATAAGAACCTTTTGTATTGGATAGGAGATCAACAAGACGTTCTAGTGTCCCAACCTTTAATCAATAGACAACCTAAAAAGAGAGTTCAAAGAATATACTACCGCTTCTCGAGATAGAACCTGATGCATTAACAAATGTTCTCATCTACTGCTGAAACCCAAAGAAAAATATTTTCCTTTGTTTTGCTTTAGCACAGAAAACGTCTCTAACTCTTCATTCCTTTTAAAAAGAACATGAGAGTTCAAATTGACACATAAGATTCCATAAAAAGTCGATTGAGAAGCTTCTAAAGTTAACGAGCCCCTATAGATTCCCTGTTAGAAATCAGAATAGAAGGATGAAATACTTAATCCTCAAAGTAAGAAATCAAATTTCTCCCATTGATAACTTCAATACCAAACCTGGAAATGTCTCATTGAAAGCATTTTTAATATTTACAATATTGTTAGGGGATTAAGAGACATTTAAAACTAGGGACACAATACAATGAAACCATTTTTACTTTTCAAAACACTCCTCGGCAAGGAAGACCGACACTCTAATTTGGAGCAAGTGTTGGTGTCGGACACGAGTCGGCTCCGACACGCTTCCGACATGTGTCCAAAAATGGCCAACTTTTTTTTTTTTTAATTTCCAACATGTGGCGACATGTTTTTCAGCCCAGCCTTTTTTTTTTTATCGTTTGGGCTTTTAGCCCACAGCCCACAGTCATTTTGGCTTTTAAACCTACTCTTTTTTAAACAACTACAACCTTAGCCCATTTTGTTATTCAATCTTTTTATTTTTTATTTTTACTCATCAGCAAAAGAATTAGGTTTTATTATTCCTAATATCTCTATCCAGACGTTTCCTTATCCCCGTGACATTTCTTCTCCACTCCTCCACACTTCGTATTTATGTTATGGTACTTATATTGATGTTTAAAGGTAAAAAATTAGTTTAGAAGTACTAAATATTGATAATAGGTTAAAATATGCAAACATATATATATTAAAAAAAAATTACCGTGTCCCCAGCATGTCATGTCCTACTTTTTTGGAAATTGACGTGTCGCATGTCCATGTCTGTGTTTTTAAGCTCCTCGGTACTGGAGAATTAGTCCCACCACCAGCCAGAATCATCATGCAAGGGAAGACTGAAACTTCTTCATTAACTTGTATATTTATGACACCATTATCTACTTTCTCACCAACCATATTAAAATTGGCCAATACCTCACCAACCAACTTAAATGCACCAATATGTGCATTAAATGCATACACACCAGCCTTGGAACATTCCGTACTAGTGGAATCATTACTGTTATACAACCTATCCAACGGTTCAACATTTATGGTTGCAACCTTCAACTTCTCACAGTCCTTGGAATTCAAAATTGCACTGATGGCTGCAACTTCCAACCCTCAACAACAAACGACAAGGCATTAGTATCTCATTAAAAACCTGGTCATTCAAGAAAACAGCAGTAACTTCTTCTACCAACTTTTCATTTGACTTAACCACTCAAACTTCGAGCATAGCAAACATAACACCACAACCACCTACAATCTATTTTAACTTCACCAAAGAATTTGAAAGATTTCAATTAATATCAACTCCCACCAATTTTCCACCTGATCCAAGATTTAAAGAGGGATCAAACTCCTCAACAAACGATTCATCTTCCTTTACCAATTTGGCATGCTTGAAGTCCAACAGATTGCACAACCAATCATGCTCCAAAATACCCAAGATTTCTGATCTAGAAGATGGATCAGAAAAAGGAGAAATTCGGAAAACCACTTAGCATACCATTTTTCAATTTTAAATACAATCGTCCCAACTTCTTCAACTAGCCACCAAAATATTTCTATTCCGTAATTTTAGCAAAGCTTTATCAGCAGGAGGGGGTTGATCAAACAACACCCAGAAATTTATTTCTTTAACTGCAGACGTTCTCCAAATGAAGCTCTCGGTTTCATGTTTATCGCCATCAATCTGTATGTTCAGTCAAGCAAGCGGGGGAAATTCTATTCACTTGTTCTTTCACTGTCCATATGCACTGAAGTATTGGTTCTTACTGTTCAAAGAGTTCAATTTGTCTTGGGCTTTTGATGGGGTAGCTGCAGATAATACCCTTCAATTGCTTCTCGGGTTGAACTTGTCTCCTCAAGGTCGTCTACTGTGGCTTAATGCTAGTAAGGCCCTGCTCTATGAGTTATGGTTTGAAAGAAATCTCAGAATTTTCGAGGACCAACGTAAATCTTCGTTTGATCGGTTTAGCATAGCTTAATTTAAAGTCTCACTGTGGTGTTCTATGTCAACTCGTTTTGGGAATTATTCCCATTCTCTTATTTGTTCTAATTGGGGTGCTTTTTTATCCTAAAATTAGTTTTTGTTTCTTGCAATGTTTTCTTTCAATCTTTCGAGAGTTTTTATCGTTGAACATTTATGTTCCTTTTCATTATTTCAATGAGAAGTTCATTTCTTGTTAAAAAAAAAATCTTGGAAAATAGAATGTAACCTAGTGATAACAAAAATCTCCTCAAAATTCACAGTGACAACCTCCTTATTATCATTTTTACCCAGAAATCCTTACAAGAATCCTTGACCAGAAACCTGACAATAACCCACCACCGAAATGGTCTTCTTAATAAAAGCGTTCTTGCTACCCAAACCAGAGCAAACTTTGTTCATTCTATTATAAATCTTAAACACCTCACAAGGATCATCCACACCCTTAAATTTATGAATGAATTCATCCAACAATTCCAAAAAGACCAACCAACCTCTTTTTTCAAACCAAGCTGTGACCAAAATAAAATTCTTTGGCACCTTCATAAGATACGAAATTTCAGCATACCACCCAAATTGATTATACTTTGTTATAACCCTAGAAAAACCTTGTTCACCTCTCATCTACTTACAAAATTTGATATTCAAAGGACACCTCCAAAGTTGAGGAAAAACTTGTTTTGCCCACGTCAAAAGACTCCATTGAAGCTTGATAAAGAAATAACAATCCTTTTTTTTTTCTTCTAAAAGATAATTGCCATGAATAAAGTGAACAAAGAGAGATTTATTTGCAATGCAACAACTACTAACCAATCTATCCATAGACTAACAAGAGTCAATGACCACCTGAAAACGAATTAAAGAAACTTGCTGGAAAGAGAGAGAGGGCAAATCTAGAAAGCATTTTCCTAAAATTTGACCAGCCACATCTTATATCGAAGTACCTCCACTTTTCATGAGTTCGCTCAGAATCTTCTCCATAATTGAGGCCCCAAATTCTAAGTTAATAGGATTGCCACCAATTGGCAAAAAAGGGCAAAGAATCCTATTAATCATACAGTATATTTCATTCACTAAACGAAATAAGATCGATTTTCTTCCTATAGTACCCCTTCAATTATCATCTGCCTTCGTTTCCTGTTTCTAGGAACTTGTCATCATTCCTTGCCATTGCAAAGTCATTGACTAGGCCACACTTTTATTACTCTTTCAACTATCATACAAAGCATATCTACGTTTAAAAAAAAAAAACCACGAAAATATATTGTTAAGAAAAAAAAAACAACAAAAAAAAGAAAAAGATTCCCGATTCAATCACATAAAACCGCATAAGTTGGTAATTTAATCTACAAGGACAAAATCTGATTTCTCCCCTTGACAAAGGCACCTAGACTACTGGGTAAATTTCATTGCTGAACTGAAGTACCAATATTAGCAATTTTTTTGTAGCAGGTTCACAACAAAATGACTATAGGTAAACTTACAAATTGATAGCATCTTGTTTCTCTGAATCCATGTAGGCATTGCTGTAGTATCTTTGAAGAGTTCTGAAGAACTCCTGAGACTGCGTTGCTGCTTTCCACTGTCCCCTTCTCTCTGAGAATATCTATTTGGCACCCAAGATGCAAAGAACTTAGACATATAGAAACCAATATCTTCACATTTTTTTATAAGAAGAATTGTAGAAAATCAAGCCGTAAATTAAGTTTTTTCCTTATTAGAATTTACATTATGTCTCTGTATATTCTGTAATTTTATTGTTTTCCTTATAGGTTTAGATTAATTCCTTATTTGTTGAAAGGTCTTCTTGTATATTAACACCTAAATGGGTTGTAATGAGAATAAGAAAAATATAACCCTTCCCACAAAATTACATGTTATCAGAGCTAGAAAAACCCTAGAATCTGAAAAATCCTAGCCGCCAGAATCTGAAAAAAAACCCTAGCCGTCGCTTCCGCTGCAAATCCCAGCCGCAGCTCTCGTCTCAGGCGCCGTCACCCCATCACAGATCTCGTCGA